TGTGTGTGTGTGTGTGTGTGTGTGTGTGTGTTGACATGGCAGACAGACTCATCAGATTTTCTCACATTAACAGATTGCTCCTCTCTGACCTCACAGCTGGGAAACAATGTGTGAAATGAATGTTTTGTGCACTCGTGATTGTGTGTCAGTGTGTGTCAGTGTGTGTCAGTGAATAAAACGCATGTTCGTCCTTGTGTGAGTGATGTCAGTGTCTAAAAATGGGTCTTTGTTGTAACCTTTATTTGATCCAAACATATTGTTTGTGGGATATGTACAGTATCTGTGTGTGTTTGTTAGTGTGTGTGTGTGTTTGTGTGCGTGTGCTTGTGCATCTGCAGTTACAACCTTGTCTGTTCTCTTACATATCACATTGACACATACTCTGTGTGTGACCAATGATTGTGTTTTTAATGTTTTAGCTGAAAACACAACAGATGTGTCTGACTCCACAGTGACAGCTCCAACAGTCACTGTCACAAACATCACACACGACAAATTATAGTCAACTTTAAATAAAACAAATAACAAAGAAACTCCAGAGCTGTGTGTGTGTGTGTGTGTGTGTGTGTGTGTGTGTGTGTGTGTCTAAACTCACTCCTCCTCAAAAGTCACCGCACTGCCCTTTAAAATCAAAATGTCATGACATCCAGACATCCAGACAGTTTCTTGTGCAAAAGCAACTGAATGAGCAAATAAAACCAACATCTATTGTTTCATTTTTTAAAAACATCATTATTTCACATCTGCCCTGCCCCAATGAAAGCAGAGGTGTGTGACTGAATATCCTGTTAACGACACAAAACCAGATGTAAGTGGTTAGAATAAATGTGTTTACTGAAGAAGGTTCAAATCATTAAGCACAAATAATAAAACGTGTGTGTGCAGACGTTTCTCCACAACATGTGAGTGGTATCAGTTAAACCAAACCAGGCCCAGTGACCGGGTCGTTCCTCAGAAGTCTTTACGATCTCAGTTGAGTTGTCAGAGCGCAGGATTTGAAGTAGATTCATCTTAAGCAGCAGGTTGTTACATCCGTGGTTTCAATACAACACGGACGAGATAAAAATCTCATTCAGCAGCAGAATCCTAATATTTTAAGCTGCCGTCGCCCTCGCACACATTTTTCTTCCTTTCATTCTTCATTAATTCAGCAATCGAGCAAACATGCACACACGGCCACTGTTAGAAGCTCACAGCCACACCTGCTTGATTCACTATTCCTCCTCCCTCGCTCTCTTGCCAAATAGTCTCCCAATCACTCAGTCCAGCAGATGGAAGCCAGCCAAACGGTCTGAGCCATAAAAGCTCTGTCCTGTGCCATAAAGCAGAGACTAAAACCCACTTAAAGTGCGGGTTGACAGTGGAAATGTGTTTTACGTCGTGGTTCAGAACCCCCAGGGCGTTGATACATTAAGATCTTCACACAAAGCTCTGGTAAATCAAAGAGCTTGAGATGATTTAGCTGCTATTTTTTTTTTGTTGTTGCATCAGTCAGTGCTGGCGGAACCGGCCTCACCATTTCTGTAGCTGCAAGATTTTATCTAACAACCTCAATTTGCAGCAGATCCACCAGGAGACACCCATCTGTGCAATTTAATCCACTTTAAACTCTGTGCACTCTGCAGTGATACTTTAATGGAGATGCAAGAGTGTGTGTGATGTTGTGTCGAGAACGTCCCTCCAAAGTATTGACACTAATAGCTCTGTCCCCATTGAGAGACGGAGGCTGCGTCCTACGAGGGATGCAGAAGCCCGGGACGGCACATCGGACTGAGAAGGATCCACCTGTTGCGGATCCATTGATGTGACGCAGCCGTGTTGTGCTGCTTTGATGCAAACGCCTGAATTGAGACGTTGCTAGTGTTGAACAGCGCTGGGTGCATGTTTATATTTCTTCATATAGGTTCAGAACAGCCAAGAATTAGGTTTCACTGAAGAGATAAAACCAGCCAAGAGGAAATTTAGATGTGCTCTGGGAAATTATCGAAATGGGAAAAACAACAGGAAACTGGATTAACAGTAAAAAAAAACAAAAAAAAAACAGTTGAATTTAAGCAGAACTTGTTTGATTATATTCACTCGTTATAGTATTTATACCTGAGAAACTTCTCAGTAAAATCTGTTCTCTGGGTGAAAGTTATAATCACCTGCTCACGTCTTCACTTTACTCAGACACTTATTTTCCGGCTCTCTTTGGCAGCGCAAGCATCAAGTGGAGATCCCGTTCTGACTGTCCCCGCTCCTCCTGTGTGTTTCTGCAGGTTCCTTCATGGTGGTGAACGCGTCGGGCCGGGCCTCAGGTCAGAAGGCTCACCTGTACATGCCCACCCTGAAGGAGAATGACACCCACTGCATCGACTTCCTTTACTCTCTGTCCAGCCGTGACGGAGCCAGCCCAGGAACACTCAACGTCTATATCAAGGTGTGTGTCTGTGTGTGTGTGTGTGTGTGTGTGTGTGTGTGTGTGTCTGTGTGTGTCTGTGTGTGTCTGTGGGTAAGAGGGACTGACAGGCAGGGATGGATTGACACATGAAGGGGCTGATAGACTGCAGCAGGTAAACTAACAAACAGGCATCTGGTGTCTGTCAAGGAAGGATGAAGCTATTCCTGAGAAGCTGTGCGTCAGTGTGTGTGTGTGTGTGTGTGTGTGTGTGTGTGTGTGTGTGTGTGTGTGTTATTCTCATCCATCTCGACTGTGTGTCTTCCTGCAGGTGAATGGAGGTGCTCAGGGGAACCCGGTGTGGAACGCCTCTGATACCGTCACTGAAGGCTGGGTAAAGGCTGAGCTGGCTATTTCTACCTTCTGGCCTAACTCCTATCAGGTATGACACACACACACACACACACACAGTCGTACAATCATTAATACATGATGTATAATAATCTAACATATAAACATAAAACACACAAACTTTGAGTTTTATTTCTCAGAGGTTCCTTCGTGCTTGTGGCTCGTTAAAGCTGACATGTGGTTTGTTGGAGTTGTGAGTTTCATCAACAGGTAGAAAGAAGAACAACAGGCTTCCTCTCTTTTTTATTCTTATTCTTTTCATGTTGAAACACAAAACTGTCTCTGTTAATGACTCAGTGTGTGTGTGTGTGTGTGTGTCTCTGTCTTTGTGAGGTGCAGACTCACCCTGCTGTGTTATTTTATTGAGGAAGCACAAAAGCGACTGTGTTTTACCTAATGACTGAGCTGTGTTCAGCAAATGAAGGCACCCCTGTGTCACACACACACACACACACACACACACATCTGAGGCACAGTTGTAATCAAAGTCACTTAAATGTGTGTGTGTGTGTGTCTAATGAGGAGTCACCTCATTACACTTTCTTTTTCTAAAAATACAAAAACATTGTGTTTTTAAACTACAGACTATTCTGTGAGGACAAGAACAAACGTTGAGGACAAACTTTTAACTTTAAACTTTAACATTTTCAGGATCTCTAATTTATCGTACGTTCACTGAGCAATTTATTAGGAACTCCTGCGAACCTGATGATTAATGTACAAAAGTGCAATGTTCCAAATCCAGCAGATTTACGGGCTTCGATAAAAGCTCACATCAAACATCAGACTGATCATGACTTCTGGCAGCAGGTGGATCAGTTGGAGTGTTTGTGAATATGCCGATCCTCTGGAGTTTAGACAAACAGTGGTCTCCGAAGTTTCTGTAGACTGGCTGGAGTAAACACAGAAATTATGGGAACTCAGAAAACTGCTCTTTACAGCTGTGATCAGAAAGAAGCACCGGCTCATCAACGCAGATGAAGATTAGTAAAAACGTGCCCTGGTCTAATGAATCTCTTTGAATCTTCCTATATTAAATTAATGTTTCTGATATCTTGTGAAACTCTATATCTTGTATACTACTATTAATATGGTGTTCCTAATAAAATGCTCAGTGTGTATTGCAGAGGGTTATAATGAGTTTAACCATCGTAGGAGTTGGTAACAGAACATTTGTGTGTTTTGCCTTTGCATTGAAGCAAATCTATTAAATTTATACATTTCATATTGACACATATTTATAATCACACGAGAGACAGAAATGAAAAGATGGAGAGGCAGATATATGATTATACATATGATTATATATATGTACGTGCTGCGTAAACCTCCACCAAGGCGACTGCAAGGATTATGATTTGGTTTGTGTTTTGAGATGAAACGAGTTTGGCCGATAGAAGATAAACGAGTCACTCTCAAAAAATAATAATTTTCAAAATAGTGTTGCTTCAAGAAAAAAAGCTAAAGCAGCTTCTTTGACTTCTGTAAACTTGACATGCGTGTCAGAGTCTTTTCTTTGAAGGAAAGGGGGGGAATAAAGTGTCTTCCCAGAAGTCTTTAGTATTCAGAGTGAGTCCAGTTTATACTGCTGAGGATCCTGACAAGTGCAGTACAGAGGTGTGTGTCTGTGTGTGTGTCTGTGTGTGTGTGTGTGTATATAAGTGTTTGTGTATGAGTAAATATGTATGGGTCAAGAGTGCATGGCCCCTTGACAGCCCTGCTGACTGCCTGTCACCCTAAGAGTGTCTGTGAAGAAAATGTAAATGTGGAAATAGAGGAAGAGGATTGACAGAAGAAACACAAGAGAAATTAAAAAAAAAAAGGAGAGAATATAAGAAAGTGACAGAGGAAGGAAATTATAGCTGGAGGAAGACAAGAGAGATGGAGAAGAGCAGGAAGAGATGGAGAAAGATGGAGTGGAGGACATGCAGAGACTGAAGGGAATTTCTCTTTCTTTCTTTCTCAGGTTATCTTCGAAGCAGTTTCTGTCCAAGGCCATCCAGGTTTCATTGCCATCGATGACATACGAGTTCTGGCCCACCCCTGCCGTAAGTGACCGTCATCGTGAGCACACGTGTGTGTTTGTGTGTGTGTGTGTGTGTGTGTGTGACCCTGCACAACTGTGGCCCACCTGTGCTTGAATCAGCTCTCTCACTCGCAGACACACACACACACACGAGCAGAGTCCAGACTCTTCATCATTCATATCTGACAGAAACACTAGCACCCACAAAACTCTGAACTGCTTTGTGCAGCACTCTGTGGTTGAGCTCGAGAGCAACACAACGTGATCTTGTTTTAAGAGAGCGTTGTAATAAGTGGACGGACTTATGTAATTTAGGATAAGATTAAAAAAAACAAAACAAAAGAACATCTACCACCACAATCGTTTAAATCTGGAGCATTTTGAATGAATGAAAGAAACGAAAAAATGAGGTAATGCAAAGAGAGTATAGGAGAAAGAAAAAAAAAAATCTAAATGAAGAAAGGTTACCCAAAAACCTTCATATCCAAGTCCTTGTCATTTGCAACCATTAGCATTAGCGTCAGTGTGAATTATCATCGTTAAATGATGGATTCATACTCCGTCAGGCTAATCTCTGTCTGCAGACAGTCAAAATTCAATTAACCAGTCGCAGGCTGGTCTCAATGCCAAGACAAAGTCACACAACGTCTGTCTCACTGTCGGCCCGCTCATCTGTCTTCTACCCATGAATTTCTCTGCCTCGCTCCAGACGTCCCTGTTTGAGGTAGATTATTGCTTTTTGGAGTTTTGGAACCTGAGAGGTATTCTGTTTTTTTTTTTTTTTTTTTTTTTTTTTTTTTCTGTCTGAACCTGACCCAAGCCGGACGTTATCCGAGATTGCAGGAAAGTGCAGTAAAAACAAACAAGGAGTAGATTGAACAGCTTATGTGACCCGAGTCCAAATATCATTTAAAAACTGTCCGAACCGTTGAGCTGTGATGTTTCTCTCGACGGGCTCCGGTCGGGTATCCGCACTCAAATCTATGAGAGAGCCATTTGTTGCAGGTGTAAATAAAACTCAGGATCTAGAAGGGTTTTAATCTGGTTTTATCACGGGACCATTGGTTCTTGGTGGAGGTTAAACTTTGTAATCGGTTAAGACTCTTAAGACACTTGGTTAGTGATGGATCCTGGCTTCTTCTTTCAATACAAAAGTATTAGTGACTTCAGATTCAACCAAAACCAAAACATCTTTCCTTTTGTTGCCTCCTTTCAACCACAGACGGGTCTCCTGATACAAACCCTGGTCTCGACTGTGACAGCCACACATTTTAAACTCACCTCCTGGCCTCCGCTTCTGTTACTAACTGTACCTGCAGTAGTTTAACCTAAGGAGTGTCCAGAGTATTAAGAAGTTCTGCCGAGGTGTCCGTATGCGACGAGCTGAGAATAAGAATGTGTTAGTTTTACTCGCTGTCTCATCACCGGCTGGATCCGGTTTGATTTTACTGTGTCCTAATAACAAGATGGCATCTTTAAGCAGCCTGCCAATTTCCTTAATACATGATTATGGAACTTGAGCACCTATTCAGGCTTAATTAATCTACCCTTGGCCTGTTTCTCCAGAGACATTAAAAAATGTGACCTGGATTCAGTTCTATTTTTCCAGACAATATATATATATATGATGTAAATAAATGTCTGTGTGCTTGTTTATTTCCTCCTAACATCTATTTAACCCAACTGTTCACACTGTGTCTGTTTGCTGCGTGTGCTGCAGGTAAAGCGCCTCACTTCCTGCGTCTGCAGAATGTGGAGGTGAACGTGGGTCAGAACGCTACGTTTCAGTGTACCGCCGGAGGGAAATGGTCTCAGCACGATAAACTCTGGCTTCAGGTGAGTGCTTTCATATCAGCGAATGTGCGCGTGAATGATATCAGCAAGAAGTGCAGAAACAGAACTCTTGTAAAGGACAGAACGCCGGAAACTAACAGATAAACTGAACAATGGTTCTGTGTTTAAGTGGCAGATGTTTTTTTTTAATACATTTGAAAGTATATCGTAAGTTGCCGTGCAGTGTACTTCACAGGTTAACACGATAAACGCAGCTAAAACAATATGCACCCGAACTCTGTCTGCGTGGTCAGATCTCTCTGCGTCCGTCACAGAGATGGACGTCGGTGTCGAGTCTGAACGGGTCAGTTTCACTTTCTGCTGCAGTGAAGTCGACAGCAACTGGCTCTTGTCTCGTCTGTAGCTCAGGGGACATTTGCAGAAAGTTGGGCCTTTTTCAACTTTCCCTCTGTCGTGTAACGGGCCGCTTCTCGAGGCTGTCGAGCTCGGCAGGGGGTTCAGCGCTGCAGAGCCAGGTCTTATTCACACTGAATAGCAGCTGTTCCTGGCACAGCGTTTTTTAATCTACATGTGTGAGCGGTTCACTTCACCGCAGGGAGTTCAGAAGTGCAGCAGAAGTACTGCTGGTTGGGTCTCTGCAGTTTTATTACACCCGGGAAGTGATTTATGTGACGTGATGTCGGACATGAGCGCGATATGATTATTGTGATGCTTTTGTGATGTTGCACTCTTCACCAGACCTGTTGTGTGTTTTAAATGATCCATGACAAGTGAACTAAACAAATTCAAGCAGGATAAACAGGATTTATCTGCTGATGTTATAATTAATATTTATATTCGGATTATAAATCACATAAAATGTTAGTTATCACTCACATATGTTGTTTTAGTCAAATAATCAAATAAATATTTAAAACAAGAACGGTGTCGCGAACATCCCAGGCCTCCAGCTCCATTTCAGGATTGATTAAAACTCCTTGTTGCGCTTCGCACCAATGACTCCATCTGTGTGTGTCTGTGTGTGTCTGTGTGTGTCTGTGTGTGTCTGTGTGTGTGTGTGTGTGTGTGCATCCATGCTCATATCCTCGTTCTAATTCACATTCATGTGCACCGGCAAGCTTGAATGTTTTCACTGCACATGGGTGTGTACCTCTGACAACTCTGCCGTGTACATTAATGACATTTGCAATGGAGAGCAGTGACCCCTCCCCCCACACTGACTGGAGGAAAGCATGTTTTACCAAATTGGCAGATAATTCTACATCGGTGAGAGAAGATTGGATCTGGAGATGTAGGGATCGTATGCAAAGCAGAGAGTGGCAGCACTGCGCGTTTTTCATATTTCATGTCTGACTTGCTCCGTTCAAATTGCTTCTGTTTCCTCCCGGGCGTCTCATATCAATATGGGCTCATTATTGTGTCATTTGTTGATGCATGTCTCTTGGAATGGCTGTGAAGTCGCACAATCTGTGAGATGAACAGCCAGAGAGCACTTCAGAAAAGTGTGAGAGCAGCAATCATTGGCTGAGGTTACACTCGTCTTTTTCAGCGTAATTTCTGTCGGACTCACCAGATCAGATGGCGAACGCCACGGCTGAGTGTGAAGGTGCCTTCACCAGGTTTATTTCAATTCAGGCCCAGAGAAAAAACTAATTAATAACGTGGAGCGTGGCGTTTGAGAAATGTGGGTGTTTGTGTAGGATCCAGTGGTTATAATAATAATTATAACTCAATAACTCAATTTAACTTAATTTCAGGTTCATTTGCATGTCACAGATTATTTGACCTTTGACACATTGACGTTTTTATTTTCCTGGTGAGAGAGAAAGGTCACTGTCCCACTGTCACTGTTCCTAAAGTCTTGTCAGTATTCATGAAAACACGCTGCAGCAACTGACCGGTATTGTCATTCCCATCATGCAGCAGTGGAACGGTCGGGACACGGCCCTGATGGTGACCAGGGTGGTGAACCACCGCCGTTTCTCCGCAACCGTCAGCGTCGGCGACACATCCCAGCGAAGCACGAGCCGCTACCGCTGCGTCATCCGCTCAGACGGCGGGTCGGGTGTGTCCAACTACGCCGACCTCATCGTGAAAGGTACGTTCTGCTGTTTGAAGTCGATCAAACCAAAGACACGGTTGTAAGCACGTTGTTCGTGATGGATGGGAGAGAGGGGTGAACGAAGAGCAGCAACTTGACAAATCAGTTGGAGAAAAGTAGGACAACTCCTCAATGTAGAGGAAGTGAGAGACAAGCCCGGGTTGTGGTTGTGTGTGTGTTGGCAGTTGCTTGTTAGCGAACGCCGAGGACGGAATACTGAGCAGACTTCAGAGTAGTGCCTTGAACTCACAATGAGCCTCCTTTGACTCCGTCTCCGTCTCGCTGCTCATTTTCTTCTTCCTCTGAGTCCGTCTCATGTTTCCTCCTCTTTCTCTTTGAAACAGACACCAACATGGTGCTTGTTTATTTCTTTTAATTTTGAAAAAATGTAAGAGGCAGGGGATTCCATTTGTCACTGTCAGTTTTTTGTTGTCAAGCTATTTGTGTGGTCAAAGTTTGACTTTTGGTTTGGTGAGGATGAAGGACGAGCACAGTTGAGCATGAACTCAAGTTAAAGACAGAGAACCAGGGCTCTGTTGTGAATCCAGGGTTTGGTTTCCACCCCTTTATCTGCTCGTTCATCTGGATCCGCTCCAGAATCTACTCATTTGGGGGAAATGCTATTGGAAAATAAATCCAAATGTCAAAAAAGCGTCATCTTGCATCTTTAAAGAAAGAGACAAAGTAAGAGCGGCCCTGTTTCTCCAGATCTGCCCCCGGAACTGTAGTTATTCTCTTGACCCACGTCTCATCCTTCTAATAGTTTGAATGGAAATCATTAGTTTGTGCTTAAATCTGCTGACGAACACACAAACCGATGGACGGGGGTGAAAACATAACATCTCCTCCTGTATTTTATTCGGAGTCTTGTAGGTTTTGTTTTAGCACCAACCTTCTATTTATGAACACATCCATTAACACGTTGTATGCAACAGAGTTTTCCTCACGGCTTCGGTGAATGTAGGTAAACGATTATGCAAATAGTTGCTATGCTGTGCTAAAGCCGTAGACTGTTTATAAAGATTGGATCATCCGAATCGCCCCCTGGTGGCTAGCCGCAGTAAATTTCACGAACTCTGCCTCCTCCATGTGAGTAAATGGGACATGGACCTACCTGGCACTGAGCCTTAAGCTCAAAAGGATGTGATATTACTGACCTGGTGTACTTTTCCTCTTGAGATGTTCTATGCTCAAAGCTTATCCGCTTAAATCTAAACAATTTGCCATAAAGTTTTTTTTTATGTGTCTCTAACAGCGATAATAACACCTCACAAACTTACTGTCCTCTCTGTAAGTTTCCCTCGCAGAGACACAGAGGCCCATGTGCTCAGGCACCGTGGAGCTGAGTTTATGCTCCGGTGCTTGACATTCTCCAGGGTTGTTTTTTTTGACAACATTGTGTTGCTTTTCCACCAAAATATATATATTTATACAGATATATATCTTGGGCAGAGCAGTGGAACCACAGAGGAATTAAAGTGGAGTTAAATCGTCCCACCAACACTTTGCTAAGACCATTTCTCACTTGTGATTTAGTGTGTTGTTGATGTGTGAGAGACACTGTGACAAATACAACTATCTGCTGTGAAGTATGTGTTTTATACTTCAAGTCAACGTAAAACAAATATCTTCCTGCGGTGCAGGGGGGATTGAACCTCGTTGGCTGTTTAATGGGATTTATATCGAATCACCACAGTACATTTAAATGCAGAGACCCTCTGGCCAAAATTATGTTTTTAATACATATTTGTTATAAATTATGCTGTTAACGTTATTTGGCGTGAATGATGTTTTAATCTGGAGGGAGGACGGAGCGTGTGCATGTGGCGCTGTGCACAGTTTTGATTAGATGATAGTCCGGGGACTGAAACTGTCGTTGCCATCTGTTAGCAGAGCACACAGACTGTACTCCTGAGAACGTCCAAGTGTGTGTGTGTGTGTGTGTGTGTGTGTGTGTGTGTGTG